AATAATGTTTACAGCACTCTGTTAGCGTAGAAGGAGCTCTGGAACATCCTTGAAAAGCCTGTGAGTTCTATTCTATTCTCTAATGTGGCTGTGAATCGGAAGCAACTTGATAGCCACAGGTATATATATATTAGACTAGAATGCTTAGGTTAACTTTTAGGTCTTTGAACTCTGCTGTAAATTTGTTACTGGCTTAGGGCAAATGCTACTTCCCTTGTTCCTACCTTCTCTTCAACTTTTACATCTTGTGTATTTGAGGCCTTCCCTAGCATCGAACAATCTTCCCAGGTAGAGAGCATAAAGTGCAGCCATGCAGTTGGGGATTAGCCTCAACTCCAATATAAAACTGGTTAGGAAAATAATGACAAAACCTTTGCTTGCTTTATAGTCCACATATTTGCCCCACCTCACTGACCCTGAGAATGGTTTATAAAAACTCCTTATTTAAACTTATTAATTGAAAATCCACAGTGGAAAAGGCCACTGGTGGTCATTATTTAAAACATGGTCATATTCTATGAGAATTAAATTTTGAAAATCCCCTCCCCCAAAGTTGATTTTAGTTTTGACATTTTGTTGTACTACTAGAAGGGTTTTTAAAAAAATATTTCTTAGGGTGTCTCAAAGTAGAGCTGGAGTCTCCAAGCTCAACACTAGCTAGGAATCCAGAGATGAGTAAGCTTCAGTGAACTAACAGACTACCTCACGGGAGTTTTCATGAGTAGGGAAATGAAATGCCTGAGTAAATGTGAAGCTTCAGGGAGCCATATGTCATTTGAGCTGGGCTTTTAAGGGTGGGCAGAAGAGTGTGCAAACAAGTGTAGTGTTTCTGGAGAACTCTGGTGGTCCCTAAAAGTGCTGCATGTCCACTGACAAGCAATCTCACTTTTAGGAGTCTCCCTTGACAAAGGTCTTCACAAGAATAGGAATATAATGTTCTGTATATAAAGTTATCCAAGGACTGGGGAGGGAGGGGAAAAAACAAGGAGCTGATATCAAGGGTTCAAGTAGAAAGAAAATCTTTTGAGAACGAGGATGGCAACAAATGTACAAATGTGCTTGACAATGGAGGGATGGATGGATTGTGATACGAATTGTATGAGCCCCCAGTAAAATAATTTAAAAAGTTATCCAAATGCAGCATGTTTTATTCTTGCAGCACACTGGGCAAAAGTCTAAATGCCTACACACAAGAAAGTAGTTGGTTAATAATGGTACATTAACACGTGGAAAACTCTGCTGCTGTTAAAAAAAACCCTAACTGATAGAGTGATTTCTAGTATATATTGTTAAAGTGCCAAAGAAAAGCACAAAACAATATATACAGTGCAAGAAAAATGGAATGCGCAGGATATAATAGGTATTCCATCAAATGCCATTGGACAAAATAGTATGTAGATTTTACCATTCAAATTCTGTCCACAATACCTTTTATACAGCTTTAAAAAAATCAAAGAACCCAATCCACTGGCATCTAACCAAGTCTGACTTGGAGAAGGACTACCCTGCAGTGTTTCCAAGACTGAAAATCTTTATAAAAGCAGCCTGTCTCATCCTGCTCCAGTGGCACAGTGGGGTCGAACCATTGACCTGTGGGTTGGCAGACTACTGCATGACCAGCATGCCGTTTATAATATAGCATATGGTGATGGCTTATAAAAATATTACTAAAAAAAA